GACGTCATATGCACGTTATCAGTTGGGAGTTATTCCCTGGTGCCCCAAAATAAAGCTATTATCAATTATTGTATTTATTACATGGTTGTTTTTGATCCAATTCTCCGATATCAGGTACATAACTTAAGTTATGTGTGATATCGACATTTTCTCACCCTACATGATGAAGGCAGAGAGGAAGAAAATCCATAAAAGTGGATCAGAAATGTTGAAGAGCCTGTTGTTTATTGTTGAGACAATCTGACAAGTTCTGAGCCCATTCATTTTAATCGCTCTGTTTCTAAACGATGAATTCTGGAGCCTCATTTCCACTGAGAGAAACTGTATGCCACCAGGTCTTTTGAAAGGGTAATATTGAAACCAAAGTGCAGATTTCATGACTGGTAAACTATAAGCAGTGCCATCTTGATCATTGAAGGTCTAATACATAATACAATTCCATATGGCTGCTGACCAGTGCTAAAATATTCTATAAAAATTGGATCAGTGAATTTATTCCTATCCCACATTGTGTTTTCATACTAAAGATATTTCACGTAGACTGTTGATGGTATTCCTTGATCTCAAAATACACTCTCAAACTACAGCTTTTTGAAATCTTTATACAATAAACATTTTCCAAAATGGCCACCACCTTGATGACGTCACAGTATGCAAATTAGATGACGAATCAACATCCATCTCAATGTTTGGTTCATACTGAAGATAGTTCATTTACAAAATGCCTTCATCTCAAACTACTTTAAAGTTATAGCCTTTTGAAACCTTGAAATCGAAATTGTAAATTTTTTTGAAAGAAATGGGCTTAATGCTGCATGAAAATCCCTCGTCAAAGGCCTGGGCTCCGCACCGTGCTCCTCTTTGCTGTCATCGTTGCAACATGTCCAGGAGTTCAACTTTTTAGCACTAACCATGTTGTGGGTTTAGTCCATGGTTTTGTCAAGGAGAAAATTAGCATACAGCACTTACAGTCACACTGCTAGCTCTCAGACATGGATTTACATTTGTCAGTGTGAATGCTGTGATACAGGAAACACGGCACAGGAATTACCCCTTAGCCAATCAGGACGCAGAACACAATACACTGGTTCTTCCTTAGCCAATCAGGACGCAGAACACATTACACTGGTTCTTCCTTAGCCAATCAGGACGCAGAACACAATACACTGGTTCTTCCTTAGCCAATCAGGATGAACATTGCAAGTTCATATACAGTGAAAATCCTGCTACAAATAAATCTGCAAGACCGCAAAAAAGAGAACCTCTATTCAGCTGAGGAGACTCCGATTCAGAATAAAGAATAACACATTTTTCCTGTATGGAAGTTTCTGATTTGGTGTTTTTATGTAATTTTTTTACTATCATGTTTTAGATTATAGATTAGACAGCGAGCCAGATCAGATATATCCCAATGAAAATAATGTTTTTGCACTTTATGATGTGAGAATTGTATACATGCATGTGTAAGAAAATTGAGGGGGCCATGGCTAGGGGGGGACTGATCCCCCCCATCCCCCCCTCTGGAGGAAACCCTGGAGATGGAAGAGATGCGCATCTCAATAAATCATATGACTGGCGAGTTGGCTAAAGTCACCCAACAGCTGACTAAGCTAATGCAACTAGTCGAGGAAGTAAAGCAACTCAAGGATGTCATTCACGAGAAAGACAAAACGATCAAGGATCTAGCAATGAGGATCGATAACTTGGAGCAGTACACGAGGATGGAAGACGTTATAATTACAGGTCTGCGCGTGAAACCTCGTTCTTACGCCAGAGCTGCAGTGCATGGAAGTAATGTTAGTGCGGATGCCGATCCAGCTGAGCAGCTAACGCTGGAAAGGCAAGTCGTGCAATTCTTTGCAGAAAAGGATATTCTGCTGGAGGCGAAAAACATCGCAGCGTGCCATACTCTCCCAAGTAAGGACAGAGCCAAGCCAGCAGTTATTATCCTGCGTTTTGCAAACCGAAAGTTCAAAACTGAACTTCTGCGCCAAGGAAGGAAGCTGAGAGACAGTTCGGTTTATTTGAACGAACATCTCACGAAAAAGAATGCTGGGATTGCGAGAGAAGCCCGGATTCTAAGGAAGAACAATAAGATAAAAGCGACATGGACCAGGAACTGCAAGATCTTCATCTAACTCAACGGAGCCACGCCGGAGCAAGCAAAAGTTGTACCGGTAAGGGAGCTTTCAGACCTTGATGAATACAGACAATAATGCTAGCCTTTTCACCGGACTAAACTGGACTAAAATGATGCTGTGCGAAGACTTGGAAATCGAACAACCTGGGAATGGATTTGCTATGTTCTGTGACTATGTTGTGCATGCTGTTACTGGACTGGAGATACTACGAAGAAGAATTGTACACTATATGGATAAAAAGGACATGGACAATATGACTTCTACTGGACTGGGAATGTTGTGCAGGCTACACATTTTTTTCTTTTTATTTACAAGATGCAGTTTGATTGTGTGTGTGTGTATGGTTGTGAGCATGAATATGTATGTGTGCGTGTGTGTGTGTGCAGGAAAGACAAATGACTAGTGAAGATGAATTAATTGAAGCATTTAGTAACATCGAGACACATGAATCGGATTCTGTAAACTATAATATAAATGACTTACCTTTAGAATACGAGCATATGACACGATCATTTGGACCATAGAGGTAGCGATTTCTGGAGTGACATAGACCCTGATAAACATTTCTTTAATAACAGTATAAATGATTGTAAATATTATACCGATGAGCAGTTTAAAGACGTTAAAACTGATGATGCACTCACAATAATTCACTTTAATAGCCGGAGCCTGTACAAAAATTACGAAAAAATAAAGGACTACTTGAGTCAGTTCAAGAAATTTAGTGTTATTGCCGTGTCTGAGACTTGGTTGGAGGATAAGAAAGGTCTTGATGTAGATCAAGATCTGGCTACAGCAATAGATAATAGCGAATATGCAGTGGGTGTTTTTATCGATCTGAGCAAGGCCTTTGACACCATAGACCATACAAAGCTTTTTTAAAAAGATTGAAAGGTTTGGTGTCAGGGGACCTGCATATGCCTGGCTGGAAAGTTATCTTGGCAACAGATACCAATATGTACAAATACACAATGTTGACTCTGAAAAAAAACGTATCACACATGGAGTTCCACAAGGTTCTATTTTGGGTCCAAAATTGTTTATAATGTATATTAATGATGTGTGTGAAGCTTTGACAAACGTAAAATGTTTATTATATGCGGATGATACCAGCCTGTACTGCTCTGGAAAGGATCTGAAACAACTCCTTCCCACAGTAGAAGACGAGCTCACAGTTCTAAAAAAATGGTTTGATCTAAACAAACTTTCAATGAATCTGAGTAAAACAAAATATATAATTTTTGTAAATAGAAAAGTTAGTGTTCATACCACTCTAAAAATAAATGATACTGAAATTGAACGAGTTCAAGCAAATACATTTTTAGGAGTTACCATTGATGGAAAACTTGAATGGAAATCGCATATAAGCACATTAAAAACAAAATTAGCAAAAACCATTGCTGTAATTGGAAAAAAGAAAACTGTACTTGATAAAAAAATCTCTTCTATTACTGTATAACTCCCTCATACTTCCTTACCTAAATTATGGCTTGGAAATATGGGGAAACAATTCCAAATCCAATACTCATCCTATTTTCCTACTCCAAAAAAAGGCAATAAGAATTATCACTAAAGCAGATTTCTATGCACCAACAACTCCCATTTTTGTAGAGCTAAGTCTATTGAAAATCCATGATCTTGTTGATCTAAATACTTTAGTAACAGCAGCAGCAGCAGTAACAACAGTAACAGCAGCAGCAGTAACAGCAGTAACAACAGCAGGTGCCTGCCTCCAATGTTAATACAATTAAATGTTATGTCCTAATTAAAACGTAAATTCAACCTTTACCTCATCATGGCCGCTCCTCTCTCCGCTCCGTGATCCATGCTACTGGGGGACGCTCACGTACAACAGCACGGCCTGATAATAGTGAGCAGGGTCCGAATCGCCATCAGAATGAGTCCACTCAGTCAGTCACTCACTCACAAAAGTCCCGCACGGTATAGTGTGGACATTCGGATAAAGCCAAAGTTGTGTTCTGGCCAGTGGGGGTGGGTCCCGGCTCAAAAGTGGAGAGGCATCTGGCTGCAGAATCCCCCCCCCTTGCAGACCTCCATGTTCAGCCCCTGTCACGTGACCTCCACCAGGAGCCCCTGTCACGTGACCTCCACCAGGAGCCCCTGTCACGTGATCTTCGCTGTTTCACTTCACTGCGACTTAAAACGTTTTTCTTCATAAAGTTATAAAGCTTATATTTAACATATAGTATATATTATGTAACAAACAAAAATAGTGACGTTTGTTCCACAAATTGTGACCAGGTATTATGTATATGAGCGATCCCTGTTTTCATCTGGGCATTTGGGATGCCAAAGGACAATTCTGTGGCCATTTGTTTACAAGAGCGCCACCTACATGTCACCCATAGTATAGCACATGAAAACACGTCAAAAAGACAATATATACATGGTAGAGATACCATCGCGAGGTTTTATTATAGTAAAGGGCTGCAACTTCTAGATGCTTATTCCATTCATCTATATTATTCTCACAACAGCTTTGAAGTTACATAGGTATCCACTATTTTTTTCTATTTTAGAGGAATAAGAGTTAGCTTGACCTATAGGTCTACACACATTTTTGATTTTCCTACCGTTCTGTAACCTGTGATGCTATACTGAACATTCCCCTTTTGTGGTGAATAAATTATCAATGATAAGGCTGTTCAATTATTTATTATACATTCACAATACAACACATATCCCATCTTATCAACACACTCAACAGAAAAGCGTTCCATGTCCTCAATATGAGAGAACACAAACTTGAAGGGCTCCAAGATGTTCTCTTGCTCCTCACTGTCTGGGTCAAAACCAGTCTCCCTAAACTGGGAGAAGTCTGCTTCAGCCTTAGCAGCTTCATCTCCTTCCCAGTCCAGCACAGGAGGAAACTGTATTTTTCCAGTGAATAAAAACAGGTTGTCCTTTGCCCAGCTTGCTGCTAATTGACAATCTTTTAGGACTTTCCGGTCTCGATGTTCCTAGAATGAAGACAAACATCAATGTGAATTTAAATGTATTAACAGTTAATGGATCGCCTTGGGAGGGCTCGTGCTCCTCCGGTTTATCCGTGCACAAATAAACTGATAATGGTCTCATAGCTGCTCATTAGCTCTTTTGACCACCCTCCTGTTCTCCCAGTGCAGAGAACAGATTTTCCACTTTAATTATTATTATTTTTTTCTTTCATTTGTGGATTCAATTTATAGATAACACTATTTATCAGTTTGCAATGACACAGCTGGTGCGAGGGTCCACATGCACCATTTTAATTCAGTGTATGTGTGGGTATGGTTGCTCACACATGAGCCATGAGGATATTAAAATTCTTGTTCTCAGTCTCCCTGCATTCACTATAAATCATTGTATTTTACATTCCTGTGGTAGGTAGTTGCAACCAAAAAAATCCAATAGTGAAAGACTGTTGGATAAGAACCCGAGTTTTATGACTCACTTGTGTAGCAGGCAACAGGTCTGTCTGTTGCACAGAACTTGCGTTTTTTCACCCTCAGAACTGGCTGTACTTCCCCTCGAAGCATAGCCTTGGCTTCCTCCGTCCAATGGGCAAATAATTTGCCATAGCTTGAGTAAGAGGGTATTAATGGAACATTGAGAATATTGACAATAGAAACATTCTCTTTGAGTAATACTTTGAGAACAAATGAATCTCACCTCCCAAGGTCAAAGGTCTCCATCAGTAACAAACACCACCATTTCCTCAGAGTTGGCATGTCTTCCTTAAAAGTCCAAGAAGAGTCAATTATTAGTTAGCAATGTAACTGTAGTTTTACAGACAGAACAGGAAACTTGTCTGACATTTCCTAGGCAGATGTAGTTTCAACAGCTGGTCATGCACAGAGCCCATTTCGTAGGATCATGAGGGGGTCCCTACACTATGAGGTAGAGCCAGCTCATGCCCAAGAAAAAGGATATACTTACAACTGAGAAGTCAAACTGCGCTTCCAGTACAGTGTACTGGAAAGTTGGGTTTGGGTAAAGTTTGGTTAATATTAATCAATGTAAGAAAATATGTGAAATGGAAGCCATACCATCAACATAAAGATGCCGCAATCATTGCCATATAGCTGCTTTGGAAGATCCTTTAAAAAAAAAAATGAACAAAAAAAGAAAAACAATTGGAGAGATTAGTGTGAATTATTTGGCATTTCTCATTTCCAATTGTCTTACCTGCATTTCCAAACCTGTCCTCTCTGTCCATGGTTCCCCAGGGATTATGGATTTGCACACATTTCTACAATAACATTGTGGATAGATGCTTCAGTGAAAAGCAATACATTAATCATTAAGCTGCATGCATAGCATTAAAAAGTTCAAATGTTGAACTTGAACAGAACTCTACAGGGCATTTAAAGATGCATCTTCTATTCAAATTACTTGGCTGTATGTGCCAAAAGGTTTTACACTTCAAGAGCAGAGTTGTCTCCATCTTGTGGACAATGTGAACATTAAATAAGCAGTCGCACAGGTGAGACAGCAGGATAAGTCTTTACCTGCATGTCCTCTATTGTAACTTCTCTCCTCTCTCGCTCCTGCCTTTGCCCTCCATCTTTTACATTCAATAGTTTCTTTAGAAAAACAAGTCATGAATATCTTTTTTAACATCTTTAAAAGCCCTTAAAGTACAGATCTGAATGTGATCTGAAGAACTCAATAACCTCTCTGCGGAACGGCAAAGGAACAGGAACCACGTAATCATACTAAAAGGTGACCTCAGGATTCCCCTTATTTCCGAATCACCAAATCCAAACTGTGCCACTGCATATTGGGAATCCAGAAATAGCACTTCTCTCTGGCTTGGTCTCAAAACCTGTATTTGCATTTCATTAACGTTTACATTGTTATACTACTTAATTTGTCTCCCTCCGAAAAGTTATACAGAATACTTACAGACAACATGTAATGCCCTGGTTTCCAAATAGGGACCACTATGGCATCTTTGAGGTGAGGATCCGTCTAATATTTAGTAGAAATTAAATGACTATGCAGTAGATCTCCTGAGTCAACAAACCATTTGCAACTTACAGGAAAGGAGGCCAGAGGGTCACAGGAATATGGTTCCCGCCAAGTTGGAACAACATATAGGTCCACAACGAAAATGTTCTTTCCCTATCAATTATAATTAAAACAAATCATTGTTGCCTCAGTAGGCTGAGGCTACTGTTGGTAGAGCATTGGCCTTTGGGCCTGAAGGTCGTGGGTTCGAGCCCACCGTAAGACCTACTTCACGACTCCCACTGATGACTGCTGTCGTTGTGTCCTTGGGCAAGACACTTAACCCTACTTTGCCCAAAGCCCCCACTGAAAGATCTCAGCTCCTGTGGACTCACCACCTGCAGGAGGGTCAGTGAGGGGCTGGTGCTCTGTGTACTGGGTGCAGCTCTGACTGCCACCCCCCCGACCCAGAAATGGATTAAGGGGAAGAAAATGTGGATGGATGGCATTGTTGCCTCCAACCACATTTTGTATTTTACCTTGACTTGCGCGACTTTTTCTATGATCTCAAAGCAGGCATTTCCAATCTGAAAAAAAAAAAATAAACAATTTAGAATATGGCAATATTGTAGCCAAATTAGCAGAGCAATAAAAAAACGATACTCACAGTAGACTCCATATCTCGTTTTAAACCAAGAGTTTGAAAGTCAGACCGTGTTAGAGCCATCTTAGTACTTTGGACGATAAGCTCCTTTCCTGACCTCTCCTCATCCAGCACATAGTTGAGCTGAGTTAAATGGGTATTAGATGTATTTATTTAGAATGTAAAATTATTTAAAACCTTATGAACTCACAAGATGCACTTGCGCAGATGTCTTGCTTGTGTCCAACATGCTTTACGTGGCTCTACCATACTGTAATTACACTCATTTTCACAATGAGGCCCACAAGCATCTAGAAATATCAGTTAAGATGTAACAATGTTAAAGCTAAGTCATATCAGAATTTTAACAATAAGATGACCATCAAAACTTGGCACCTTCGTCAGTGGCTACATGTTCATGTTGTGAGGGCCGCGATGCTTGCATTGCTGGAAAACCAAGATGTAATGAGTGGTCATGTAGGTTCTTTCGTGGCATTAAATATGGGAATTGAAGTTTTATTCACCAAATATGGCTTGTCCAAGATTATTCTTCTCAATGTCGTGAATTGTTTGTCCTCTTTGCAATTGTCTCTTTATGTATTTGTCGTTTTTTGTGTTATTTTGGTGATGTATTATGTTTCGCATGAGAAAAATGTGGGTTGAGGGGGCCATGTTGTTAAGGAAGTAATTGTTCTTCCTTAAAGTGGCAAACAGCTGCTCTGCGACTTGACTGTTTAGTGATGTGTGCAGTTCAGGGACAATTCCAATTCGCCTGAGAACTTCTTGAGGACTTTTTGTGTTAGTCTCATGAAATTTGTCATAAAGTATATAGTGGTCTGAGGAACCAGTTATCGGATGTCCATTGGGGTCAGGAAGGGCAAGCTTTTGATGAAGCCACGGCAGAGACACCTTTAGTTTTTTTTGTTGAGCTGCTGCAATGTTCTCTGGGGTAGACGACGCTAGTCTTCCTTCATGAGGCTTAAAAGGAAGATCTATTGGTGACCGTACATTTCCGTGTGTTGCCAACCCCCGGGCAAAATCATACACACAAACATTTGGAATGTGCTCCCAGGAAAAAAGAAGATCAGCAAAGTCCCGTGGGGACTCTGCCCTGATATTGAATTTAATGCTGTAAACAATGCCGTGAGGACAGAGTATCACAGACCAGCCACCTTAAAATAAAAATTAAAAGTTACCAAAAATGCATAATACAAATTTTTGAGGATGAAGAACATGAGCTGTACCAGATGCTCCCCAGATCTTTTGGAACACTTTGTCATAAGTGTGCCTGGACTTCATTTCCTCCCGGAGTCGTAGTATGAGGTTCATACGCGACCCATTCGAGTCCAGGTTGCAGGCTTTGCATAGTTTACGCACTGTTGAAACCTTAAAGACACCAAATATATTCCATATGTAAATCATAAACTAATACAAAATACTACATTCACACTATGGCTGTCAAAGTTAACATTCATGCGATTGATCAAAAAAATGAATGCATATAGCGTGGTTTAATCATAGATTAATCTCAGCCTGATGTCTCCCAATGCTTATGTTTAGGAGGCTTCCCGAACCTAGAGCAGGGACACTCTGCTGTGACCACGGTGTGCCACATTCACAAATTTCTTGTAATACAGCTCCATATCTATATTAAACTTTGAAAATTTAATTTTAACTCATAATTGTAATCTTTTATTGAAATGCCTTCCATCACACTTTGTACAGCGGTTAAATACTGACATTAATATGCACTATGAGATTAGTCAAATTTCAAAAGTATTCACACGCACCTTTTGTTTCATCAGCTCATCAACCAGCCGATCCTCTGTAACAAGAACCTCTGCTGAAGTGACAGTCCGATTTGAGGCAATTTTTTCAAACTCTGTGTTCAAGGCCATGTTTGATTTTCTTGTCCTCCTTCCAATCCATGGAGCCCAGTATTCATAACTGGGATGAACAGTAAATGGGTTCTCAGAACAAGCTTAACAAAAAAATAAAACCAAAAGGTAAATAACAAAAATAAACAATCCGTCAATCATTGTCTTTACTTTTTAAAAATCCTCGGGAGATCATGTCAAAGTCAATCGATTTCCAAAAGCCGTCAGTGTCAACTACTCAATTGAAGGTAGATGAGGCCGCTGCAACCTCGCTTACTGAAAAAAAAAACAGCAAAGAGTTAGCGTTATTAAACAGGACAGACAGCCATGACTCAGGAAAGTGCCCTAGGAGGACGAGTCTGTCTCTTGCAACCCTTAACTTATATATTAGGAATTCATTAGAACTTTTTTCAAAACATTGCCTTACCAGGAAGGTTAAACACCCCTTTCCTGTGAAGGTCCATGACCACAGTGTGGGGGTGGTATCCACAACTGACACATGAATACTCATATGTCTGATCTGTCATGGCTTCAAAGTGGCAGTAAGCATGGAGAATGGCATTTCTGGAAGGAAAGGGTTTTCCTCTGAGGCCTTCCAGAGAATTGATTACTTTGGACACGGCAACATTGTTCTGCAGGAGATTTGTTTCATTAATTTAAAAAACGAAGCCATATTGTTAAGATGGATGAACATGCCAAAAATAAAATAAACAAACCTGTAGATTATGCCTCAAGTACAGACACATCTCAAGGTTTAAAACGAGATGGTCATCAAAGTTATGTAGCCCATCTTTCCACTTTTGATAACGATAAACCATGCCACATTGTGGGCATTGTCTGTAATAAGTGGACACATCTGCAGAGAAAGGTCAGTAAAAGATCAGTAAAAATACAGTGTACCCACAACAAACAATTAGACTTACTCTCAATAACCCCTCCAATTGTGACAATTTTAGCATTTCTTGTAATTACTTCTGATTTGGACAGTGGCACTGTGACACATACAGTGCAAAGACTTTCCTCTGGCTGAAGTTCAAGATTGTAGGTGTGAAGAGGCTTTGACTGCAGAGCACTGTCAGGAAGACTTGGAGGAATTCTCTTATTTTCATAAAGGTAATTAATAATCCGGGTGGGGTCTTGTGGTGGGTATGGGGCATTGGACAACGCATTGGTATCATTTCTCCCTGTAAACATGTTTCTGTTGGTTTGAAAGAGGTGCCATTTAGAAATATTCTTATGAGCACAGGACATTCTGGGCTTTGAACAGGGGCAGTGCCATGTATTTCTATCAGAATTGTAAGTGACTATCAATCTGCCAAATTTGCTGTATGAATGTGGAGTTGGCTCATGGATGGAAAAACACACATTGGAATTATCATGTGTAGGGACTGGGACACAAAGGGGGACATGTGATTTGTGGGCATTTTGTTGACGTTTCAGGCAAATATTTTTCTTGGACTCCGAAAAAAAAAAGCAAACCAACCATTTGAATTAAAATGCCCTCTTCGAGACACTCCTCCACAGCTGTTGCCGAGCAATAATCAATAGAGCGAATGTGCTCACACTGGAGGTTTGGTACCCCACTCCTGATGGCCATTTGGTGAAATTGCGTGCAATCCTCCAACTCGCACTCAACTCTGTGTTCCCTACCCCAAGTTTTCCTTACAGCATGAACAGGCACAGAAAACCCATGTCTGTCTTTTTGCATCGCAAAAATTCCGTTGCATTCATCGACGCATACACCGTTTAGGTGATTTAGAGCAGTAATGTCCATTTCTTTGGGTAGATGTTTGCGCTTGATATGAACAGAAAGGTTTTTTGCCAAACACACAAGCGCACAATGAGGGCATTTCACTTTCTTGGCATTCGGAGTAGAGACCGAGGACTGCAGAGAAGGAACTGCAGACACCGAGGACTGTAGAGGAGGAGCTGCAGACACCGAGGACTGCAGAGGAGGAGCTGCAGACACCGAGGACTGCAGAGGAGGAGCTGCAGACACCGAGGACTGTAGAGGAGGAGCTGCAGACACCGAGGACTGTAGAGGAGGAGCTGCAGACACCGAGGACTGTAGAGGAGGAGCTGCAGACACCAAGGACTGTAGAGGAGGAGCTGCAGACACCGAGGACTGCACAGGAGGAGCTGCAGACACCGAGCACTGCTGAGGAGGAGCTGCAGACACCGAGGACTGTAGAGGAGGAGCTGCAGACACCGAGGACTGCTGAGGAGGAGCTGCAGACACCGAGGACTGCACAGGAGGAGCTGCAGACACCGAGGACTGTAGAGGAGGAGCTGCAGACACCGAGCACTGCTGAGGAGGAGCTGCAGACACCGAGGACTGCACAGGAGGAGCTGCAGACACCGAGAACTGCTGAGGAGGAGCTGCAGACACCGAGGACTGTAGAGGAGGAGCTGCAGGGCTATTACATATACATAAATGCCTTTCCATATCAGATTTTCGAATGAGCGTTATATTGCAGGAAGGGCAGTGGTAGTGTACAGAGTCTCGACAGAGCATGTGGCAACGGCATATTTTCCAATCTAAAAAAGAAAATAAAAAGTAATGCATTATCTGTTACATACATATTTTAAGCGCAATTAGAATTACATACACACAATTATGCATTCAGGGCAAGTATCCGGCTTATCTTGCTGGAGACTTGTGCAAAGTAGTAGTGAAATTCAATCATAATTGGAAAACCTTTTCAATTAATATTTTATAATTGTTGGCACTTTACATTCATAACCAACTGAAGACACTTTCCAAAATGTTGTGGTTAGAATAACAAACGTATCTCCTCCAGATGTATCACTATTAAAAATACCACTAGTAATACTTCTATCACTAGTTTTCATGTACTTTAGATCTGGCGCATCTTTAGCTTTGTCAGACATAAAAAGTAAAAGTATTCATGACAAAGACAGTGACTTGATGGCTCTTTCAAATAGTCTGTAAAATACATAGAATGGATAGCTGCTATATTATGTTATTAACATACAGTACAATCAATTATTGATTATATTTATTATTGTAAAAATTTCAAAAAAATCTTACCTTTGTAAACAATTGCCTGCCTTAAATGCGACTGCAAGTGTATCTGCATTTTATGTAACTTTTGGGGTTTCACCATTGGACATATGGGGCAGTGAAAGAGGGTGCAACAGGTTGTGCACCGCTCCACAAGAAACTCTCCTTTTACAATTGATTTGTGCATCTGCAAAGACACAATATGAACGTTAAGCATTAAAGCGTTGCAACGTCATCAATACGGAGTTCAAACTGCGTTAATTGTACATAGCGATAGTGCCTTTGTGCCTAATGGACGTTAAACCATAAGCATTAATGGTTTACAATCATGTTAGCAATGCATCAACGCAAGAGGGGAAACGTTAACGCTAATATTTGTGTGTTTTTTATTCGGAGAGAACGGTGGGCAATAATGAAGAGCACTCACTTAACTGTTAATACACTGTTGTAGCTTTGAGTTACTGTTAAACGTATAAAGCTAAGCGTTATGTTGTCGTAGAGAGACAAGTGTAGCCGACAATAACTAATCTGTATCTGCAGTAACTGAATCACAAAACACGTAACACAAGCATCTTACCGTGACCGCATCTTACCGTGACCGCAGATCGTCGCACGTGTAGTACTGTCCAGTAAAAGAAATGACGTGACTTCTTCTTATAAAATTTTCCGGCAGGCGGTACACTGGCGGAAGTGACGTAACAGGGGCTCCTGATGGAGGTCACGTGACGGGGCTGAACAGGGAGGTCTGCGGGGGGGGGGGGGAGTCTGCAGCCAGACTCTCTACTGCTGATACTACTGCTGAAACTACTGCTGAAACTACTGCCGAAACTACTACTGCTACTGTTGGTAGATGGGTGAGAAATTACAACTACTCCAGTTTTTAAACTTCATGAAACAAAGAAAACTGCTTCTTCCTTTTTTTTGACTTGAGAAAGAGCGATGAGCTCAGTATCTGTCCATCCATCCATCTTCTTCCCCTTAATCCATGTCTGGGTCGGGGGGGTGGCAGTCAGAGTCCAGTCCACAGAGCACCAGCCCCTCAGAGCTCAGGAACTGTTTTGGGATAAAACATCTGTGTTTTATCGTTCTCTGTGATCCTGGAGACATGATATTTTCTCTGTGAATCCAGTTTCTCTTCAAGTACTTTTACTTGTACTTGTACTTGTAATTTATCTAACCTGTTTTCTCTGGTGTTTTTGCAGTTTTAAAGTTTAACCCGATCATCAGAGTCCTGATTATTCTACTGATGACTCTCCTGTTCATCTTGCCACTGTGCTACTGCTGCTACAAGGTACTACTACTACTGCTACTGCTGCTACAAGGTACTACTACTACTGCTACTACTGCTACAAGGTACTACTACTACTACTACTACTACTACTACTACTGCTACTGCTGTTACAAGGTACTACTACTACTACTACTGCTACTGCTGTTACAAGGTACTACTACTACTACTACTGCTACTGCTGTTACAAGGTACTACTACTACTACTGCTACTGCTGTTACAAGGTACTACTACTACTACTACTGCTACTGCTGTTACAAGGTACTACTACTACTACTACTACTGCTGCTGCTATTGCTACTGCTGCTACTGCTTCTACAAGGTACTACTACTACTGCTGCTACTACTGTTACTGCTACTACAAGGTACTACTGCTACTGATACTACTACTACAAGGTAGTACTACTACTACAAGTTACTGCTACTACTACGACAAGGTACTACTAATATTACTACTACAGCTACATCAAAAGGTACTACAGCTTCTGCTACTAAAAGGTATGACTAATACTACTACTACTGGGGAGCCCAGAGGGAGGGGAGCGACCCGGGGGAGAGGGCCCAGAGGGAGGGGAGCGACCCGGGGGAGGGGAGCGACCCGGGGGAGAGGGCCCAGAGGGAGGGGAGCGACCCGGGGGAGAGGGCCCAGAGGGAGGGGAGCGACCCGGGGGAGAGGGCCCAGAGGGAGGGGAGCGACCCGGGGGAGAGGGCCCAGAGGGAGGGGGGCGACCAGAGGGAGAGGGCCCAGAGGGAGGGGAGCGACCCGGGGGAGAGGGCCCAGAGGGAGGGGAACGACCCGGGGGAGAGGGCCCAGAGGGAGGGGAACGACCCGGGGGAGAGGGCCCAGAGGGAGGGGAGCGACCCAGGGGAGAGGGCCCAGAGGGAGGGGAGCGACCCGGGGGAGAGGGCCCAGAGGGAGGGGAGCGACCCGGGGGAGAGGGCCCAGAGGGAGGGGAGCGACCAGGTGGATACCAGGTGGATACCAGGTCGATTAATGAAATATTTTGTGTTTTTGCGTCTTCTTCGATTTGTTTTATCCATTGTTTCATTTTGTTTGCCACACACATGTACAGGACAGACTTCTGCAGTACACCAGACACACACATGTACAGGACAGACTTCTGCAGTACACCAGACACACACATGTACAGGACAGACTTCTGCAGTACACCAGACACACACATGTACAGGACAGACTTCTGCAGTACACCAGACACACACATGTACAGGACAGACTTCTGCAGTACACCAGACACACACATGTACAGGACAGACTTCTGCAGTACACCAGACACACACATGTACAGGACAGACTTCTGCAGTACACCAGACACACACATGTACAGGACAGACTTCTGCAGTACACCAGACACACACATGTACAGGACAGACTTCTGCAGTACACCAGACACACACATGTACAGGACAGACTTCTGCAGTACACCAGACACACACATGTACAGGACAGACTTCTGCAGTACACCAGACACACACATGTACAGGACAGACTTCTGCAGTACACCAGACACACACATGTACAGGACAGACTTCTGCAGTACACCAGACACACACATGTACAGGACAGACTTCTGCAGTACACCAGACACACACATGTACAGGACAGACTTCTGCAGTACACCAGACACACACATGTACAGGACAGACTTCTGCAGTACACCAGACACACACATGTACAGGACAGACTTCTGCAGTACACCAGACACACACATGTACAGGACAGACTTCTGCAGTACACCAGACACACACATGTACAGGACAGACCTGAGAAGGGACGCTTCAAGTTACTACTGCTACTGCTTCTGCTACAGCGACTGGTTCAGACCTGCTTCAGACCTGCTTCAGACCTGCTTCAGACCTGCTTCAGACCTGCTTCAGACCTGGTTCAGACCTGGCTTAGACCTGGTTCAGACCTGGTTCAGACCTGGTTCAGACCTGATCAGACCTGGTTCAGACCTGGCTTAGACCTGGTCCAGACCTGGTCCAGACCAGTGGATGTCTTGTTGTTTCAGGTTAAGTCCAGAAGAGGCGCTAGTGAGACACATGAGACCATGATCCTGATGAATGAGGTCATCACAGAAGAGGAGAGAGGAGGAGACGGACCAGAAGAGGAGAGAGAAGGAGACGGACCAGAAGAGGAGAGAGAAGGAGACGGACCAGGAGAGGAGAGAGGAGGAGACGGACCAGAAGAGGAGAGAGAAGGAGACGGACCAGGAGAGGAGAGAGGAGGAGACGGACCAGAAGAGGAGAGAGGAGGAGACGGACCAGAAGAGGAGAGAGGAGGAGACGGACCAGGAGGAGAGGAGAGAGGAGGAGACGGACCAGAAGAGGAGAGAGGAGGAGACGGACCAGAAGAGGAGAGAGGAGGAGACGGATCAGAAGAGGAGAAAGGAGGAGACGGACCAGGAGAGGAGAGAGGAGGAGACGGACCAGGAGGAGAGGAGAGAGGAGGAGACGGACCAGGAGAGGAGAGAGGAGGAGACGGACCAGGAGAGGAGAGAGGAGGAGACGGACCAGGAGAGGAGAGAGGAGGAGACGGACCAGGAGAGGAGAGAGGAGGAGACGGACCAGGAGAGGAGAGAGGAGGAGAGGGAGCAGGAGAAATGAGTGAAGTGTAAATATTTCCCATGATGCTCTGGGTGTAAACGCCTCCTTCTGTTCAGCTTTGATCCTGTTGTTTTATTTCTCTCTGTTCGGGCTCAGAATGAAAAAGCTGTGGATGGAATGTGTCTCATTTATCAACGACACTTGTATGGCACATTCACACACGGATCATACACAGATGTGAAAACAATATTATCTGTTTCTATATTATCTGTATTTAGTGTCTTTTATTGTGTGTACATAATACTGTGTGTTTACTGCGGCTTCTTATATAATCATCTAATTATATGTCATGAGATACCATCAAGACCTAGACCATGGGGGTGTGTGTGTAACCATTGTCATTTATGATCAAAAAAATAATAAAATATTAATAAATGGAACTTGTTGGATGGATTTTGTCACAAAGTTCAATGTGTGTGGTTCTAAAGTCAGGTACCCCAGCTTTAAACAGCAGTCTGCAGTTTCCACGGCGACCAAGGGAGCTCTGAACTCATGTATGTCCAGTTTTACACATTCAAGACTTTATTCATTTACTGCATTAAAAACACAAAGACACAACTGGTCTGAACCAAAGGTACCAGTGACAGAACAGACACAGAACCATGGACACAACTGGTCTGAACCAAAGGTACCAGTGACAGAACAGACACAGAACCATGGACACAACTGGTCTGAACCAAAGGTACCAGTGACAGAACAGACACAGAACCATGGACACAACTGGTCTGAACCAAAGGTACCAGTGACAGAACAGACACAGAACCATGGACACAACTGGTCTGAACCAAAGGTACCAGTGACAGAACAGACACAGAACCATGGACACAACTGGTCTGAACCAAAGGTACCAGTGACAGAACAGACACAGAACCATGGACACAACTGGTCTGAACCAAAGGTACCAGTGACAGAACAGACACAGAACCATGGACACAACTGGACTGAACCAAAGGTACCAGTGACAGAACAGACACAGAACCATGGACACAACTGGTCTGAACCAAAGGTACCAGTGACAGAACAGACACAGAACCATGGACACAACTGGTCTGAACCAAAGGTACCAGTGACAGAACAGACACAGAACCATGGACACAACTGGTCTGAACCAAAGGTACCAGTGACAGAACAGACACAGAACCATGGACACAACTGGTCTGAACCAAAGGTACCAGTGACAGAACAGACACAGAACCATGGACACAACTGGTCTGAACCAAAGGTACCAGTGACAGAACAGACACAGAACCATGGACACAACTGGTCTGAACCAAAGGTACCAGTGACAGAACAGACACAGAACCATGGACACAACTGGTCTGAACCAAAGGTACCAGTGACAGAACAGACACAGAACCATGGACACAACTGGTCTGAACCAAAGGTACCAGTGACAGAACAGACACAGAACCATGGACACAACTGGTCTGAACCAAAGGTACCAGTGACAGAACAGACACAGAACCATGGACACAACTGGTCTGAACCAAAGGTACCAGTGACAGAACAGACACAGAACCATGGACACAACTGGTCTGAACCAAAGGTACCAGTGACAGAACAGACACAGAACCATGGACACAACTGGTCTGAACCAAAGGTACCAGTGACAGAACAGACACAGAACCATGGACACAACTGGTCTGAACCAAAGGTACCAGTGACAGAACAGACACAGAACCATGGACACAACTGGTCTGAACCAAAGGTACCAGTGACAGAACAGACACAGAACCATGGACACAACTGGTCTGAACCAAAGGTACCAGTGACAGAACAGACACAGAACCATGGACACAACTGGTCTGAACCAAAGGTACCAGTGACAGAACAGACACAGAACCATGGACACAACTGGTCTGAACCAAAGGTACCAGTGACAGAACAGACACAGAACCATGGACACAACTGGTCTGAACCAAAGGTACCAGTGACAGAAAACAACAGACACAGAACCATGGACACAACTGGTCTGACCAAAGGTACCAGTGACAGAACAGACACAGAACCATGGACACAACTGGTCTGAACCAAAGGTACCAGTGACAGAACAGACACAGAACCATGGACACAACTGGTCTGAACCAAAGGTACCAGTGACAGAACAGACACAGAACCATGGACACAACTGGTCTGAACCAAAGGTACCAGTGACAGAACAGACACAGAACCATGGACACAACTGGTCTGAACCAAAGGTACCAGTGACAGAACAGACACAGAACCATGGACACAACTGGTCTGAACCAAAGGTACCAGTGACAGAACAGACACAGAACCATGGACACAACTGGTCTGAACCAAAGGTACCAGTGACAGAACAGACACAGAACCATGGACACAACTGGTCTGAACCAAAGGTACCAGTGACAGAACAGACACAGAACCATGGACACAACTGGTCTGAACCAAAGGTACCAGTGACAGAACAGACACAGAACCATGGACACAACTGGTCTGAACCAAAGGTACCAGTGACAGAACAGACACAGAACCATGGACACAACTGGTCTGAACCAAAGGTACCAGTGACAGAACAGACACAGAACCATGGACACAACTGGTCTGAACCAAAGGTACCAGTGACAGAACAGACACAGAACCATGGACACAACTGGTCTGAACCAAAGGTACCAGTGACAGAACAGACACAGAACCATGGACACAACTGGTCTGAACCAAAGGTACCAGTGACAGAACAGACACAGAACCATGGACACAACTGGACTGAACCAAAGGTACCAGTGACAGAACAGACACAGAACCATGGACACAACTGGTCTGAACCAAAGGTACCAGTGACAGAACAGACACAGAACCATGGACACAACTGGTCTGAACCAAAGGTACCAGTGACAGAACAGACACAGAACCATGGACACAACTGGTCTGAACCAAAGGTTCCAGTGACAGAACAGACACAGAACCATGGACACAACTGGTCTGAACCAAAGGTACCAGTGACAGAACAGACACAGAACCATGGACACAACTGGTCTGAACCAAAGGTACCAGTGACAGAACAGACACAGAACCATGGACACAACTGGTCTGAACCAAAGGTACCAGTGACAGAACAGACACAGAACCATGGACACAACTGGACTGGACCAAAGGAACCAGTGACAGAACAGACACAGAACCATGGACACAACTGGTCTGAACCAAAGGTACCAGTGACAGAACAGACACAGAACCATGGACACAACTGGTCTGAACCAAAGGTACCAGTGACAGAACAGACACAGAACCATGGACACAACTGGTCTGAACCAAAGGTACCAGTGACAGAACAGACACAGAACCATGGACACAACTGGTCTGAACCAAAGGTACCAGTGACAGAACAGACACAGAACCATGGACACAACTGGTCTGAACCAAAGGTACCAGTGACAGAACAGACACAGAACCATGGACACAACTGGTCTGAACTAAAGGTACCAGTGACAGAACAGACACAGAACCATGGACACAACTGGTCTGAACCAAAGGTTCCAGTGACAGAACAGACACAGAACCATGGACACAACTGGTCTGAACTAAAGGTACCAGTGACAGAACAGACACAGAACCATGGACACAACTGGTCTGAACCAAAGGTACCAGTGACAGAACAGACACAGAACCATGGACACAACTGGTCTGAACCAAAGGTACCAGTGACAGAACAGACAAAGAACCATGGACACAACTGGACTGGACCAAAGGAACCAGTGACAGAACAGACACAGAACCATGGACACAACTGGTCTGAACCAAAGGTACCAGTGACAGAACAGACACAGAACCATGGACACAACTGGACTGAACCAAAGGTACCAGTGACAGAACAGACACAGACTCTTTGGCTGCAGGAGCAAAGCCACAGAACAAAAACCTGGAGAATGTTGGAGGAAGAGCAGCGACAAAGACAATCACAATCACTATTATTTTATTGTAAGTAACAGGAAGTGACAAACCAGGAATCTGCTTTGGCTCATGGTGCAAACACGTGGTAAGAGTAAAAAGGTGCAGACATAAAAGAATGTTGATAAATGTGTTAAAATGAGGACTATCTCCACGTGCACTAAGGACAGAGACATGTAGCAGTGCAGTAAAGTGACTGTAAATGTCTAAAGCTGAACACATGTTTTTACACATGTACAAACATCCAAGACCATTGGACTGAAGGCAACACAAACATGAAGCAAGGAGAAGGAAAGATCCACTTCTTTGAGGAGAAACATTATTACTGGGAACATGAAGTCATAGAATGAAGAGAGGAAAAGCTCTTCTGGATCATGGCACTCACTGCTCTCAAACTAATGACCACAAACTGGAGAAAAACCAATCCCCAAAACCACAAACTGGAAGCACTTCAACAAGTCCAGGAAATGGATCCACAAAGAAGAAGAATAATGAAGGAGACGAGTTTAGGGAGAAATGGGGCATTTTGGATCATTTATAATGAACAATAATAATACATTTATATAATATTAATAATAACAACACGACTCGAGACAAAGGAGCGTCTTATGAAAACAATGGAAAGGACTAAAAATAAATAAATCCATAAATAAGAGGAAATGAAAGAAAAAGATGCAGTTGGAAGAATGTGAAGTGTTCAGATAATGACAGTAGATGTCGACGAGTGAAGAAGTGAATATATCACACCATCACATTCTTATGATTGATACATGTGATGTCACACGACACATGTGTCATACATCATTATAGTCTTCATCTGCTCAAGGACTTTTTATTTTAGTTTATTTACTTTGTCTTTATTTACTCTTGTGGAGGTTTGTGTTTTTTATTTGTTGTTTTGTTGTAACTATTGTTTTATTCTTTATGATTTATTGATTCTTTTAAAAACGAGGAGAAGACGGTGCAGAAAAGATAAACCAGGCCCCGCCTATAAGCTCCTGCAGCTTCCTGGGAGTTCCCTTTTCCAAAGCACTTCCAAACCTTAGACATTAGTGTGTGTGGGACTTGTTGAAGTTTTGTAAATAAAGAGA